CTCTCACTCACACACTCACTCACACACACACACACACAATCACACACACACACACACTCACTCACACACACACACACACAATCACACACACACACACACTCACTCACACACACACACACACAATCACACACACACACACTCACACACAATTACACACTCACACACAAACACACACACACACACACACATATATACGCATATAAACACACACACCCCCACATTGTACATTCAGTGATCATGTGTTGTGTGTGTGTCTCAGGGCGATTACTCGGAGGCCGCGGTCAGTCTGCACACCTGTCTGTCCATCTTGTCCAGAGTGCTGCCCTCCTCCACCCTCGACATCATCTGCTCGCTCTCCTGGAACCTGATTCGCTACTGCCTGCGGAAACCCGCCCCTCTGGGCTGGCTGGTGCGTCTGGTTGGAGGGAGACATGAGGGGGAGGAGTCACAGACCAGCTCACGCGACGCAGCACTGGTGTATCACCAACTCAGCCAGCTGCAGCTCACAGGTGTGTGTGTGTGTGTGCGTGCGTGAGTTTGTGTGTGTGTGCTATAGTGAGTTTGTGTTATAGTGAGTGAGTGTGTGCTATAGTGTGTGTGTGTTATAGTGAGTGAGTGTTTGCTATAGTGAGTGTTTGCTATAGTGAGTGTGTGCTATAGTGAGTGTTTGCTATAGTGAGTGAGTGTTTGATATAGTGAGTGTGTGCTATAGTGTGTGTGTTATAGTGAGTGAGTGTGTGCTATAGTGTGTGTGTGCTATAGTGTGTGTGTGTTATAGTGAGTGAGTGTTTGCTATAGTGAGTGTTTGCTATAGTGAGTGTGCTATAGTGTGTGTGTGTTATAGTGAGTGAGTGTTTGCTATAGTGAGTGTTTGCTATAGTGTTTGCTGTAGTGAGTGTTTGCTATAGTGAGTGTGTGCTATAGTGAGTGTTTGCTATAGTTAGTGAGTGTGTGCTATAGTGAGTGTTTGCTATAGTGAGTGTTTGCTATAGTGAGTGAGTGTTTGCTATAGTGAGTGTTTGCTCTAGTGAGTGTGTGCTATAGTGAGTGTTTGCTATAGTTAGTGAGTGTGTGCTATAGTGAGTGTGTGCTATAGTGTGTGTGTGTGTTATATATAGTGAGTGGTTGCTATAGTGTGTGTTATAGTGAGTGAGTGTTTGCTATAGTGAGTGTGTGCTATAGTGTGTGTGTGTGTGTTATATATAGTGAGTGGTTGCTATAGTGTGTGTTATAGTGAGTGAGTGTTTGCTATAGTGAGTGTGTGCTATAGTGTGTGTGTGTGTGTTATATATAGTGAGTGGTTGCTATAGTGTGTGTTATAGTGAGTGAGTGTTTGCTATAGTGAGTGTGTGCTATATTGTGTGAGTGTGTGTTATATATAGTGAGTGGTTGCTATAGTGTGTGTTATAGTGAGTGTGTGGGCTATAGTGTGTGTGTGTGTGTGTGTGTGTGCTATAGTGAGTGTGTGTTATAGTGAGTGTGCTATAGTGAGTGTGTGTTATAGTGAGTGTGTGTGTGTGTGTGTTAATAGTGAGTGTGTGCTATAGTGAGTGTGTGTTATATTGAGTGTGTGCGGTATAGTGAGTGTGTGTTATATTGAGTGTGTGCGTTATAGTGAGTGTGCGCTAGTGTTTGTGTGTGTGTGTGTGCGAGTGTTATAGTGAGTGTGTGTGTGTGTGTGTGTTATAATGTGTGTGTGTGTGTGTTTCAGGTAAGCTGGATCAGCGGCCGCTCTGGGGTGTGTGTGTGTCTCTGAGCGCTGTGAATCTGAGCAAGAGTGCGGAGGGGAAGATGCCGGTCGCTCAGCGGATCCAGATCTTTGTGACGGCAGCCATCAGTCTGAGAGCGGCACTGGGGAAACACCTCACCTGTCTGCCCGTGAGCATCACACACACACACACACACACACTCACTCATGTAAACACCACACACCCCTTCACACACCTGCTGTCTGTGTGTCAGGGTTACCTGCTGAGCTGCGCCGAGGCTCTGGCCTGTCAGTCAGACTCTAAGCTCCTCCCAGACTGCCTGCGCTGGATCTTCACGCCGCTGGGCCGCCAGTTCTTTCTGAGCTGTGATTGGTCAGTGAGGGCGGAGAGCAGCGAACAGATCTTCACGTCTCAGAGAGATGAAGGTAAGCCTGAGCGATCGATGGGTGGCCGTCTGAGCGTCCAGCCGCAGGACTAACACGTGTTTGTGTCTCTAGCGGATCCCATCGCACAGCTGCACCGCTGCTTCTGTGAGAAACTCCTGGAGAGAGCCGTGCACACGCTGATCGAGCCGCAGAGCAGCAAACACGCAGAGGATGCTGGGTAAAACACACACACACAGCTGTTCACACAGCGGGTCCATAACTAACTACATCAACCAGTAGAATCAAACAAATCTGATTGCAATTTTTCTACAACTTATAATGCAATTATAAATCTAATAACTAATAATTCTAGTATTCTGAAAGTGTGTCATGTCTGCTGTAGGGAGTTCACGGGTGTTATGGAGTTTCTGCAGCTGCTGAACAGCTGTACTGAAGACTCCGCCCCCTCCACCGCCCCCTTCCCTGCGCTGGCCAATCAGAGCTCAACACCAGGTGCGTGTGTCTGCCTCGGCGGTGTATGTTAATGCGTCCTCACACGCTGACGTGTTGTGTCTCGTCTCTGCAGTGAGGGACCCCGTGTGCCGCTGGTGGGCGTCGGTGCTGAAGGCCGCGGTTCATTGGCTGCAGGGTGATGATGCGTCGGTGAGGTCGCTGCTGGCGGAGGCGGAGCGGATGCCCAGAGCGCTGCACACGCTGGAGTGAGTGTTCACCCGTCAGAGTGTGTTCATACCCATGATGCTACAGTCTAACCGCGTGCATGTGTGTGTGTGTGTGTGTGTGTGTGTCAGTCACCCGCTGGCGAAGGCCGTGCTGGCGCTCTGTAAGGCTGTGCAGATGAGTGTGAGTCAGCAGAAGGGCGAGGGGGTCGTCAGCTGCCTCAGTCACTGCCAGCGCTCCAGTGCTCACCTGCACATCAGTGTGTGTCAGTCACACAACAACACCTGGCTGCACAAGGTACACACACACTGCACTTATGCACTGCTGATGTTTTCCCATTTTAGGGAGCATCCTAACCAGCATAAGTGACTGATTTAAAACACTCTACAGCTGGTTATCATTATAGTTGATGTTATAGTTATTGTTACAGGTATTGTCTGTGGTGTGGATGCTAATATCGTTATCTTTATAGTTAACGTTACAGTTACAGGAATAGTTTTAAAGATAACTAATGCTAATTCTGATAACTATAAAGGACACACCGGTGTATTTCTCTCGAGCCAATCATCTTCTCTGACTCTCTCAGGGGGTGGAGCTTCTGGTGTGTGACCTCCTCCTGACTCTGAGGACCAGCCTATGGCAGCGCGGAGGCGGGTCTAACGGAGAGCCAGGCCCCGCCCCCGGATCCCAATTGGCTGGATTCCAAAGGGACTTGAGCTCTCTGCGTAAGCTCGGCCAGGCCCACAGACGGGCCCAACACAAGGTGACTTTTGACCCCAGCCTACAGCTGACCTCTGCACTTGATCTCCACATGATATTAACGGTGTGTGTGTGTGTGTGTGTGTGTGTGTGTGTGTGATTTTAGCTGTTCCTGCACGAGACGACGGTCCGACTGATGGCAACGCCGCCAGGTCACCGCGCTCGATTGCTGGCCGAGGCCAAGCGCACGCTGGAGCGAGTGGGAGACCGCAGATCCCTGCAGGACTGCCAGCAGATACTGCTGCGGCTCGGAGGAGGAACCACCATCGCTGCCACATAACACACACACACTTATACACACAACTGAAGAAGATTCAGTAAGTGTATGTTAATCATGATCATGTTAATATTAGATGTATATTAGTTCATCCTGAACACACACACACACACGGTTCATTCAAATCTACTGCAACAGCTAGTATATAAACGGCTCATGTATCTGCAGCTACCTCACACACACATGTTGTACAGAACTGTGTCTTAAAGACCAAAGTATTCTAGCGCTAGTGAGACACATGAGGGTATTATATAATTATTATTTCACATGACGACCTTGACTCTTCATCATGTGTAATTACTTCGGATTTAGTTTCTGATGTGTTTGTTTTATTTTGCTCCGGTAGTTTTTTGTCTTTATTCTTTTATTTTTGAATATATGACAGCAGGACTTTTATTATGACAGCGCATGATGATAGATAATGATAGATGGTGATGTAAAGTCACATACATCAGAAATGAGCTTTTAATGCAGAAAAAGCATTGAAAATAAGCGTTTATTATTTGCTGTTTTTAATCATTTAATCCAAAGTTTCTGGTTGTGTTTTAATATCTAACTGTAATAACTGTCTCTGCTGCTCTGTCACATGCACTCTCACACACTCACACAAATATATACACACTCACACACACACACCTTCTTCAGCTGTATGTTAGTCATGATCATGTTAATATTAGATGTATATTAGTTTCATCCTCAACACACACACATATACACAAACACACACAGGTTCATTCAGATCTACTGCAACAGCTAGTAAATAAACGGCTTGTGTCTGCAGCTACCTCACAGACACACTCTCTCTCACACACACACACACACACACACATATACGTATGTTGTACAGAACTGTGTCTTATAGACCAAAGTCTTCTAGCGCTAGTGAGATACATGAGGGTTATTATATAATTATTATTTCACATGACGACCTTAACACTTCATCATGTGTCATTTCTTCAGATTTAGTTTCTGATGTGTTTGTTTTATTTTGCTTCGGTAGTTTTTTGTCTTTATTCTTTTATATTTGAATAGATGAAAGCGAGACTTTTATGATGACAACACGTGATGATGATGATGATGATGATGTAATGTCTCACACACACACACACATCAGAAATGAGCTGTTAATGCAGAAAAAATAAGCGTGTGTATTATTTGGTGTTTATAATAATTTAATCTAAAGCTCCTGGTTGTGTTTTAATATCTAACTGTAATAACTCTCTGCAGCTCCGTCACATGCACTCTTTCTGCTCTCACTCTTTCGTTCATGTGTTTGTCTGAAGCTCTACATCTTCAGATTTTTTTTTTTTTAATAAAACTGCAGATGCCGTTGAAGAACCATCTTGTGTTTGTGTGCAGTTTACACACTCCAGTTTAGTTTAGTTTCTTATAGAGCACATTTCTACTGCCACAAGAGCAGCCCAAAGTGCTGTAAAAGACCTAACAAAACACTGCATCAGAAAAAAAAACCTGATATTTAAAAAGTGCTTCTTCAAAGCCGTTTTAAATGCGTTGAGAGGGGGCAGAGCGGATGGCGAGCTGTAAGTTATTCCATAGCTGAGGTCCAGCTGTCGAAAAGGCCCGATCACCTTTCCGGGACCACGGTACCTGGAGCAATTTATCCATCCAGGATTTTACATCCTCAAGACACTTAACAATAGTAGAACAGGACTTGGGTGTAATGGGACGTATATTTGAGTATCGTCAGCGTAACAGTGGTGTGCAGTCTCATATTTCCTAAGAATAGACCCCAAAGGTAACATATACAGAGAAAACAGAACTGGACCTAATATAGAGCCTTGTGGGACCCCGCATGATCGAGGAACTAAAGGAGATGAATGATTACCAATTGTAACTGATACAGACCTATTGGACAGATAAGAATAAACCAAGTGCAGAACAATGCCACTAAGCCCAACCTCCTGCTGTAGGCGATCTAAAGGAATGCTGTGGTGAACTGTATCGAAGCCAGCAGTTACTGTAAATCGAGCAGAATTAGAAGAGCAGAGTTACCAGAATCCAAAGTGAGCAAGAGGTCATTTGTCACTGTTAAGCAACACTTTTGGATTATGTGAATTTTTAGAAATGAAATCTGAGAAATATTAAATTTTAGCTGCTTTAACGCTGCACTGATAGGCAGATGGGCAGTTCTTAAAAATCTCCAAGGACACTTGTAACCTGTCTGATTTCCATTTACGTTCTGCTTTACGGCACTCCTGCCTGAGCCAGGCTCATGATGTCCATTCATCAATATGTCACTTATCTGTCACTTTTTATGTACTATTATGTTTCTGGTCATTAATTATACAAACTGTAACTTGATAAACACTTTGATAAACTCCCGTTTCTATTCTGTGTGGATGTATTACCTAGAAACATGATGTGTGCACATTTATGATATACACTCCTGTGAATGAGAACAATGTTTTTATTTGTTTTTTTTTTATAAATACAATAGCATGTAAATGAACTCAAAGCTATAAGGCATCTATGAGCGGGGACTTTAACTTTATCCAGTGTTCCGTGCAGGACCTTTATTTTGGCGCTTCCGGTTGCTCATAGAAGCGGAAGTTCCGCAGTGTGTCACACGTGTTTTGAAATACTCTGGAAAATGGCGAAAAACATCTCGGTTAGGTATGTAACCTTGGTTCCCTGAATAGGAAAGGAGATGCTGCAATGACGTCATCGCTATTGGAACACCTCCGGTGTGACGAATGTCTGAAGTCCTTATACCATCACGCCAATTTATTGGCCAATAGCGCTTAGCACCGCCCCGAGCATACGTCACGTATGCTCATATATGCGATATTTCATCAGATTTTACACTATGACGAAGGAAGCGATATTGAAGGTACGGAACGGCCAGCATGGCAGCATCTCGTTCCCTATTCAGGGAACCAAGGTTACATACGTAACCGAGATGTTCCCTCTCATAGGTTCACTTCAATGCTGCGATGACGTCATCGTTATGGGAACGCTACACCATCACGCCTGACGTACCTAAGATAGCTGGAAGACCGAGGAAAGAGTCTGCTCAAGCGGAAGAGGCCCGGGAGCCAAGAGCGATCCTCACATCCAGACAAGCAGAACTTGATGAAAGTGCTAGGAAAGGACTCACCTGCCACAGCACAGACCTCTCCCATCAAAGGCCCTTTAAAGAGAGCCTGAGAAGAAGCCATTGCTCTCGTAGAATGAGCACGCACCTTTAGAGGCGAAGTCACACCACGTGCCTCATAGGCTAGAGATATAGTCACTATCTGACCCCGCATAGCAGGGGAGAAAGCCTCCAACCACTTGCTGAAAGTGAAACGGAGTCAAAGCAGCCTTAGGATTAACTAGGCCTAGGAAGCAGTAAGACTTAACCAGCCTCGGGGCAAAGTCCATACAAGAGGAGCTGACAGAGCCTGCAGATCCTCAGTCCTCTAAGAGAGGATAGGATTACCAAAAACTGCTTAAGGTTTCAAAGTTATCTGACAGACTTAAACGGCTCAAATGGATGGCCTGCCAGGCCTTCCACCCGAAAAATAAGTCCCAAAAAGGAATCTGTGCTGGGCGGAAAGGCCTAAGCCGTCTCGTCCCTGCATGAAACCAGCAGATTGTGTTCACTTACAGGGCATACAGCGTCTCGTGGAGGGAGCCCTAGAATTAAGAATAGTGTTGGTAATCTCTGCCAAGAGACCGGAACACATTTCAACTCCGAGTAGAGCAACGGGGATTTTATATCAGTAAGCTCGCCCCTTAACCCATAGCTTATATCTACAGCTTGTGTCGCCTGCGAGTTCAAGCCCGAGGCTGCTGTAGAGTATGCATCATCTAATCCGCAGCCGAAAGAATCGATTACAAGCTTCCGGAGTGGGAATCAGATTTGACTAACCACCTGACTCACGAGGCGCTCTTCTGATGAACGCACGCGGTCTGGGGAAGAGAGCCAGAGAGAAGGGGATTAATTCCGTTCTCTCACTCTCTGTACACTCGGGCTCATCGCCGTCACCCCAAGCGTCGAGCTCGTGCGGCGCCTCGGCAACCGCAGAGCTGGAACAGCGGGGGTTCAACGGACATCTCTCCTTCCTCAGAAAGAGAGCGAGCCCAGAGCGCAACTTACTCAGAAACACAGATCATAATCACGGATACAACAATAGATAAAGGCTGCAAAGCGTTCTTCCTACCTGTTTCCTCGTGAGTCCGTGTAACATGCATCCATACATACCGGAAAACTCATTGTGTCCGCCTTAGAGGAGTAAACTGCTCTATATAAATAGATGGCTTAGAACACAAGAATCTCTTTCCGACGGGCAACAGATGATTCGCTTCCTGAAGGAATTAAAATCTGATGAAATGAGCATATGTGACGTATGCTCGGGGCGGTGCTAAGCGCTATTGGCCAATAAATTGGCGTGATGGTATAAGGGCTTCAGACATTCGTCACACCGGAGATGTTCCCATAGCGATGACGTCATCGCAGCATTGAAGTGAACCTATGAGAGGGAACGGCAGATTAAAGCAGAAATCAAAGTTTAACAGTGGCGTGAAACAGAAGAAGAAGCAGCGAAATGTGTGCTGACCTTCGACGAGAAAGACAGACAGTAAGTCACGCATTCATTCAGCGCGATCACGATTAATTACTGGCTCTAATTCAAAGCCAATTACAAAATCAACAGGAAACGAGTTAATACGGGCATTTAATATGGTAACATTAATGTAAACATACATAATCACACATACGCTAATACACGCAAATAAAAAAATACGTCAATACATTAGAATCATGTGTAATTACGTAAGAATATGTATTTTACCCTTTCCATTTTTTTCATTACTTAAAATAAAATAAACTTAACCAAGCTAAAAGAGTAATCTAAAAGATTACTGGAGCCAGATCAGGTGACCATCACTGACCAATCAGCTGCTCGCTAATGAGCGAGGTTATACTGGTTAAAAGTATGTGTGTCGTTTCTGCAGAGAGATGAAGAGCGTGAGGAGGAGAAGGATGGTGAAAAAATACAAGCTCACGAACTCTCGACTGACGCATCGCTAACCTCGCGAAATCTCAACTGACGCAGCACTAAACTCACGAACTCTCGACTGTCGCATCGCTAACCTCACAAACTCTTGACTGACGCAGCACTAAACTCACAAACTCTAGACTGACGCATCGCTAACATTACGAACTCTCGACTGACGCATCGCTAAACTTACGAACTCTCGACTGACTCATCGCTAAACTCACGAACTCTCGACTGACGCATCGCTAAACTCACAAACTCTCGACTGACGCATCGCTAACCTCACCAACTCTCGACTGACGCATCGCTAACCTCACCAACTCTCAACTGACGCATCGCTAACATTACGAACTCTCGACTGATGCATCGCTAAACTCACGAACTCTTGACTGACGCATCGCTAAACTCACGAACTCTCGACTGACTCATCGCTAAACTCACGAACTCTCGACTGACGCATCGCTAAACTCACAAACTCTCGACTGACTCATCGTTAAACTCACGAAATCTCGACTGACGCATCGCTAACCTCACGAACTCTCGACTGACGCATCGCTAAACTCACGAACTCTCGACTAACGCATCGCTAACCTTACGAACTCTCCACTGACTCATTGCTAAACTCACGAACTCTCGACTGACGCTCTATGGATGTGTTTGTACTTTACGTGTTTGATACTTTAAGGACATTAAAAAGTAATTTTTCATCATACAGTGCCATACTTTCATTCCCACTTCAGAGTAAAGCTCGTTCACAACAACAACGAAAACAGTAACTATAACAATAACTATAATAACTGTACAATAACAATTATAATGGTAACTGTAATAATACATAATGATAATGATACATATAATAATAACTGTAGCAATAACGACAACTATAATAACGAACGATAATTGTGATAACTATAATTAATGATAACTATAACGATAACTTTAATAACTGTAACTACAACGATAACTATAATTGACGATAATGATAACTATAACGATAACTAAAAGTTGTTTTCCCAAGTAATTCCAGCGATATCGTTCCTCTGTGTTGTTATTGTTAACAGTTGTGCTGTGGACTCACTGTTCTCATAGAATTACAGTGATTATCAAAACTTTGTTTATAGTTAGTTATCATTTTCGGTGTGAACGGGTCTTCATATATTCACAGACAGACTTTAACTGCTGTGATCTGAAACTACAGCACATTCCCCTCAGATTCATATGGAAGCTTATTGCAACCATTGAACAGAAGTCAATTATGACTTTTATCTCACAATTATGAATTTTTTATCGCAATTCTGTCAAAATTGGGAGATGTTAAATCGCTATTGTGAGATATAA